AGGAATATGCATGGTAAAACCTGCATCCATTTAGCATTGCAACTTCTCTACTTGATGCATGGCTTCTGTCCTTACGTACACCAAGTCTCATAGTGTACGTCACTCTCTCGTCCTCTGTCTTTATTGTTTTATTTGTGCACATCACTTCGAGTTTACATTTTGAATCACTTTAATGTTTAGTGGTGACAGCTTAATCTGTAGGAATGCCATTTTGGGGCCTCCCACTGGTGAAGCCACACAGATCTGATGAAGCACATAAAAATTATAGTTCTCACTGGTGTATTCGAGGAGTGAAATCTTTAGACATTGCTGATCGCTGCAGGGCCTGTCAGTTGAGAAGTATGGACTTGTGGGCTAATTCTGCAGTGCGAGAGCCAGGTACATTTGACTCTGTGTCCATGTTTTGCGTCTACAGTAAAGCAAAGGAAAAACAAACAAACAAACAAAAAAACCCCCACAACCCAAAAGAACTCAAGAAGTACATAGAACACAGCAAAAGCTTTCCATTTACTCTCAATGCATGGGCTTTCTGTATGCCCTGTGAAGTGGTCAGAGCGATCAGTTTTACACAGAGTTGTTACCGTTTCCTGTTCCTGGTTCTAACTCGGGCATTTGTCAGAGACATTAAGTGATACTTTGTCCTGCTTGTACCTTACCCATATGAAAGGAATCTGTGGCCCTTGCTTTCGTAACCAGCAACACAGGTCCCTGCAGTACAAAAATTGGCATTGCGGTGATGATCATTGGGAAGTATGAGAACGAATTTAGTTTTCTCTTCTGGTGATCCCTCTAAAACTACTTAGAGCTGTACTAGCGACATGTACTGTACTCTCAGCTCTAGAAATCTGTAAAAAGAGCACTCTTATCGTGGTGCTAATTGCTTCCTCAAAATGGGTGACATAATACATGTATTTCACAGCCCTGCCTAGATCTCCCTGTGCTTTGAGTTCTTTCTGCAGGATTTGTGGCACGCTGAAGTCCTTCAAGGGATGTCACCACAGAGCTGCGTGACCCCAAGAAGTTCCTCCAGCACGGCGCAGGAGCGGATTCTTAAGCTCTTTCCTGTTGCACTCCTATTTTTATTTATTAGAATTCTGAATATTTCAGGCCTAAAATTTTTGTTATTCCTTATTTGAGCAGTTCTCCCAGATACTTCCTTTTCCTAACCTGTGATTCAATTCAAAACCGTTCCATAATCTAGGTCACAATTTTGGAATAATGATATTCCCTAGACATTGTTCTGCCACACAGAAATGCGGTGCGGTTCCAAGCAAAGCAGGCTTTTGCCTGAAGGTTGTTACAAGGTGGTTCCCAAGCCCATGTGAGGATTTGAGAATTGCCCTGCTTTCCCTATGTAAATATACAATATAAAAAAATTACTTATTGTTTGTAGTGCACACCATGAAATAAAACAGCATGTCATGTCTGGCTACAAATGACCAGCACATGCCTCAGAAAACCCTGTGCTGAATTTATCTGTTGTGAGCGGTGTGTGTGTATAACGTTGACATCTACACCACAGGGTTTTTTGAGGGTTACAGGCATTCGAACTATTCTCATTGCTGGATCCCGAGGGAAGAGTGTACTGTGTCTGTACCACAGCGTAACCAGGAAGCTTTTCCTTACAGTATCACTGCGACACTGTCAAAACCAGGTGGTAATAAAAGCTCCTAAAGGAAAACCATGACTGGTCTTACAAACTGCAGAGGACAGCTTAAGTCAGCAGTTACTTTCCGCTGAAAGGGTCTCTCATCTCTCCATGTCCATTCTCAAGGTATCTTCAGACCGAAGTGTGCAGTCTTTGCCACCTTAAAATCTTAACCCATGTTTCTCAGCAAAAGTCTTTCTCTTATAACCTGTAGAATGTAGATAAATGCTTCACGTTATTCTGGGACAAAAGTTCCCTTTTAAACCTTGTGCTCTTGTCCCTTTCTCTTCCTGTGCTGGTTAGACCAGTTGTTACAGTTTTGTGGTGACACTTTGGGTCCCCGTATTTCTTTTGGGAGATGCTGAGACAGGCTTTCTTTGCAGATGTGTGTTGTTGACACGTCATGAATCTCCTTGCCTTTCACCTTGAAGTGATGGAGTGACCCACCACTCTATTTGTCATAATTTGGATCTCTTCGAAAGTTGGAGAGACAGCACGGTTCCTTTCAGGATTGCCCCTATGTCTAGAAGGTTTTTGGTTACAGATTGATTAGAGAAGTTAGAGTTTTGTTAAAAACACATGAGAAAACAGCAAGAATGCTGTAAGAAGCAACTTTTGATATGTTGGTTCTTAAGATGAATGATGAGCTCCCATCTCTGTCTCCCCTTTCTACAGATAACCACTCTGCACCTCCAGATGTAACCACTGGCCTGGTGGAACATTTGCATCATGAGCGTCCACAGGTAGCATCAGTACGAGGAGTTCCCAGAGGCTACAACAGCAGCATTTTGGAAACTGCAGATGGTGATTGTATTATAAATCTCTTACCTTTCAATCTGTGTCTTTTTTCCTGAATAAGTGAATGTGTAACAGAGCTTGACACCAATCATGTGCTATGCTTCTGGTCCCTCCAAAGCTCTTGGTCTGCCACAGAAGAGGAAGCCGTACTGCATTTCCCATGTTCTGCTCATGGGAACCATGGCCCCATTTCTGTATATTTCTATAGTAAAAGGCAATATAAGCCCTTTAGTCTCACATTTGAATTTTATATTGCCTCAGACCTTTAAATTTCAATAAATACAAAAAAACCCACATTTATTAAATTTATAATTTAAAAACAACGTATCACATACACAAATTAAAATCAGCATTCAACATGGTTTTGTGTTGCGATTGTTTTTTGCTAGCCCTGTAAAATATTGAAAGATTCACATCTTTTTCCAAGCATTCTCACACTTTCAGAACTGAATAAATGTTAAGATGTAGCAAATACTTAGACTCTTGAAGACAAGAACGTTCTTCAGGTTTGTATTGGAATCTCATGAAGGAGTTAGCAGTTTGTAAAGCTAAACTGAAGTGTGAGATGATGTACGCATTAGCCAGGTAGCAAGGGAACAGCACTGTTTTAAAATAAATAAATCCATAGTTGAAATTGTTACTGATTAAAGCTGATTTTTTCCAAATGAGCTGCTCATATTTAATGACTCTTCCACTTCCACAAAGCTGTGCTGAGCCTAGCATGATGTCAGCAGTGTGGCAGCATGTGTTTTAGTGTATGTTTATTGATACACGGTAAGTAATAAATCTTTTCTGTTTCACAGGTGTCCCAGTGAATAGCAGAGTGTCCTCTAAAATCCAGCAGCTTCTAAATACCTTGAAAAGACCAAAGCGCCCACCTTTGAAAGAGTTTTTTGTTGATGATTTTGAAGAACTCCTAGAAGGTTAATTTTCTTTGAAATATAGTTTTTACTTTGTGTAAGCAGTTCACAGAAGAACTGATCTGTCTTAGCAGGTGTTTTCTTTTTCTCTTCCCAATAGAAAACAAATCATAGTGGATTTGTTATATTGGAGAGAGAAAGGTCATTTGCTATCGCAAGTGAAACATAATCTCCAACTGAACCCTCCTACTCAGTGTACTTGTTTTCTCCCTCACTTTGGAAACTCTTCAGATTCAGTCCAATTTGGACCAGTGTGATGGCCTGGTGAATACTAAAGACAGGGATTTACACATGTTTGGAGAAATTCTGTTCACGTCTTTATCAAAGAACTTAATTGATGCATCCAGAAATTGTCATGTTTGGTGATAATCTCACTTTTTGCCTTAGAGATTCTAAACTCTGCCCTGCAGTCATCAGGGAATTTATAGAGGGTGCCCTTTGGAGTAAGTCAGAGCATTGCCTGAGTGTGACTGATGTGCAGCGGACCTCTGGAAGCCTCTGTCCAAGCTCCTGTTCAGAGCAGGTCTGACTGGATCAGGCTGCTCTGGGCTGTGTCCAGTCCAGTTCTGAGCATCTCCAAACACAGAGATTCCACAGCTTCTGTGGCCATTTGTAGCTGATCAGTGCCCAAATGCAGATAGATTTTTAAAAAAGTTACTTGGAATTTATTATGATAATATTGTTTGCATGCATGTTAATATCCTCTTATTGAAATCCAGGAGCTTTCATTATGTTCAGAGGAATTAAATGCATTGAGTGCTTTATGCAACATGTCTATGCACAACATGAAAGGGTAGTGCTTGTACATGCTCTGCAGAGAGTGACAGCTAAAACTTCCTATTTTCTTCTCTGTGTGCCTATGTCCCAGTGGAAAGAAGAGCATCTCTAACAAATGTAGAAGCTGCTTAGCCATATGTAGCTGCCTTTAAAACCAGCTGCATCGGCTAATTTTGGAGAATGATTTTTGTCCTGTTCTCTAAGTCTTAAAGATCAAATGAAAATTTTGTTCTCAGTGTGACATTTCTGAGCAGCTGCTACTGGATTCCTTGTACTGGTTGTTTGATACTTGAAGATATAAAGTGATGGCAGTTCTGGAGATTTTTCAGGCACATTTCCATTGAGCTGCATGTGTGTTATTGTGGAGAACAGAGAGCATCACTTTGAACTCTTAATTTTAGTTATTGCGTAGATTGACTGTTAGCTAAATCCAACTATGACTTTGTTTTGCTAACTGAGATCAAGATACTTCACCTTGAACAGCTTGAGGCAGGATTTTAACAGCCAGCTACTCAGAGAGTAAATGGCATACAAAGCCTGCAATGTTCCACCACTGAGAGATGATCCAGAAATCAAACAAAATATTCTGTGAATGGTACAGTTTTAGTTGTAGATAATCCATACCAGGACCATTTCATCTTGCTTTTAAATATATATATATATGTGTGTGTCTGTGTGTGTGTGTGTGTGTTCTTATAGAAACATAGTGTCATTCTTCATCACTGGTTGAGAATTTGGTGCAGTGAAAATAAATTCAGTTGTCACTGAAGCCATTCTCTCTGATAACGCTTCTTGACTTGGTGTAGGCTTTTCTTTAAATAGATGTGCAGAATAAGCAGCAGAAAATATAATCTTTCCAAAGCAGAGAACAGTGAACTAGGGATTCAAATTCTGTTCCTGTAGCCAGGTCCTTTGAATACTGTAGAATCAGAACTCCAAAGTGATGGTAATTTTTTTTGTGACGCTAACAGGTGATTAGCATAGCAACATCATAAAGCTGAGGAGAAATAATGATAGCTGGGAGGAAGATGAGACCGGTTTGTACAATAGTCTATTAAGTGTAACCTGCACATTCTGCAAGGATTGACATTTGCCATCTTTCTGTACTCTGGTTTTAGTGCAACAGCCTGACCCAAATCAACCAAAGCCTGAAGGAAATCAAATGAATGTACTTAAAGGTGAGCCCTTAGGCGTGGTAACCAACTGGCCACCTTCTCTGCTGGCTGCCCTGCAGCGCTGGGGAACTACCCAGCCAAAAGCCCCTTGCCTGACAGCGCTGGATACAACTGGGAAAGCTGTTTATACGCTTACCTACGGTAGGTGTTGGTGATGGCTGTAAAGAAGAAAGGGGCATTTGGTATGAACGAACCATTGGCTTTACTTGATGGGGACTGGCTGTGCTCATGACAGATACCTGAGATTATTATTTCATTGTGATGGAAAACATTTTAAGGAAAGTTAATGAAGGGAGGATGTGTATGGCATGGATTCTTCAGCTGCTTTTAAGTTTCAAACAATTGTGGGGTTTTTTGATTAAAAGAACACTAAAAATAGCCTGCTGTAAAACAGGAGGAAGAAACAGATGAGTAATAATGCACTCTTAAGGGTAGGTACTAAATTTTATCATGTTCTTGCATACCCTTATAGAGAAGACTTGTACTTCAGGAGCATATTAAGGATGTTGCTGTGGGAAGTGAAACTTGCCTGTATCAATGAACTAGAAGTATTACAGTAACTGCATTTTTTTGGAATATTTTTTTGTGTCCCCCAGGAGAGTCAACTGCAGCATTTCATTGTATAGTATGTTAGAATGTTAAAATTTTGTTTGCTTTCTTACAGATGAAGTATGCTTACAGGAGATGTAACTGAGCAGCTGCATTGGTTTCATTACTTAGCAGTGGAGCTTTGAGAATTGTTTAGAGTATCTTGTTTAGTTTTACGTTTTAAAAAAAAAAGAGGGAAAAGAAAAACTAACAAGAAGCCAAGCTCTAAATTGTACTTGTACTTTCTGCCAAGTGCACTGAATGGTGCATCCTGTAAAGAACTGGCCATTTGATGTACTTGAGTCCTGTGTAACTTTCTTTTATAAAATTGGAAAATACACAGAAAAAACCCTGTTGAATTGAAGAAGTTTGAGACTGACAAATACAAAATAACTGATGGTTGCTGCGTGGTCTCAAAGGATTGAGTGTGAATGTCAGTCCATAATAAAGACCCTGTACTAGAAAGCTGAGTTCCAGATGCACGCTGTTTGCTTTGGCATGCTTCTTTGGGGGATCTTGCTTTGATTTACCATTTATAGTAGAAGAGTTTTGCTGCTGCTCAGTTTTTTATAAACAGGCTACAAATTAAAATTTGTTTTTTATATGATGTCAAATAGGTAGTTAGATTATTGTATTTAATAGGCTGGAATATTTTTTTGTTCTGAATTACTGAGCACTGAACTGGCATTTCACAGAGACGGATTTTGTGGCATTTATTCCTACCCTTTGTTTCTTAAAGTTCAGTTTAATTTTTTGTTTACGATTTTTCTTTTTATCTCAAGCGGTTTGCTTTTTCTTAGAGCCCTTATGAAGGAGTCTTGTGAATTGACTTTTGGAAATGCAGTTAGGTAGTGTCAGCCAGACCACGTGTGTGTGTGGTGGGTGGGGGTGTGTGTGGTGTGGGTGTGTGTGCCCACACACATGCACTGAAATATTGGAGGAGCTCAGTGGGTTTGTGAGGTGGGATTGTTTTCACAACAGCAGTGTTCACTTTTTCCCAGTCACTTGCTTAATGTGCCTGTTGACCCTGTTCTAATACAACTGACTTGCCTAGTGCATATATAAGGCGCTGAGATTTGCCAATTAAGTGTTGAAATTTTAGTCGCTATTTTTTAATTTCAGTATTGTCTTTTTTCTTTAGGCAAACTGTGGAGTCGAAGCCTAAAGTTAGCGTATACCCTGCTCAACAAGCTAACCACTAAGAATGAACCACTGCTGAAGCCTGGAGATCGGGTAGGCTTCTGTTTGAAATGGTCGCTATGGATAAAATAGACAGTGAGAGGAACAGCTTTAGCTAAAGGAAGCCTTGTAATACTGTGACTTGTAATACTGTATTGTCACGGCATTTAATATTTCTGTTTCTAGCTTAAATATGAAACTGAACATTGTAGTGAAGATTTTTTTACACAAATGAAAAAGCAACCCTCCCCCGCACATGATGACAAAAGCCATTTTTTGTTATTTTAATGTGTTTTTGTAGGTAGCTCTCGTATTTCCTAATAGTGATCCAGTTATGTTTATGGTGGCATTTTATGGATGTCTCCTGGCAGAACTTATTCCTGTCCCAATAGAAGTTCCACTAACAAGAAAGGTAGGTAAATACATTCAACACTTGAATGGTTTTGTAAATAAATAAAGTGGGTGGGTGTCTAAATCCTATAGCATTTATATGGGACCCTTCAGAACCTGTACTTCTGAAAGCAGGGTGGTGCACCAGCTGAACTACTGGGTGCACGTTATATGCTTGGGAAGTGTTTAGTTAGGAAAGGGGGGAAATAGTATGAAGCTAGTAAATAAAGTATTCTAGGATATGTAACTATAGAAAATATTTTAATTCATTATTTTTAGATGTGTGAAAGCATTCCTCAAAATATAACACAGAAATGCTGTCTTTTTAGCTCTCATGTTGAGTAACAAGAGCACAGGCATGTAGAGACACCATAGTTACTGGAAATATCATTATAATCCCACACACATTTAGATTACTGGGGAAGAGCTATAAAGCTACAGGCTCTGTTCTTCAGTGCCTCAGGACTCAGAAACAGCATCAAACCAGGTCTGTTTTACCAGAACCTATAAACATCCCTGTTGGGTTGGAGAGAGATCCACTTTTGACACTGCTTCACTAAATTGCTTGCCAGATCTGCCTTCAAATCTAACTTAGTTGACACTACACAAAACTAGGCCTTTTGAGTATAGACCTCTGTCTGTCTTCTGTAAAAGGTCTTATGGGCTAGAAGTTTGTTTTTTCCTGTGATACAAGTTGGCTTAGTATTTTCTAAATGTGGAAAAGCTACCGTTCGCTATTCGTAATTTTGCTATAATGTGGTTTTATCTATAGGATGCTGGCAGCCAGCAGATTGGATTTCTTCTGGGCAGCTGTGGAGTAACACTAGCTTTAACCACTGATGCCTGTCAAAAAGGCCTTCCTAAAGCTCAAACTGGCGAGGTGGTTACATTCAAAGGTATGGTTTTAAGATAATTAAATTTCTTTATAGGATAAAGAGTGGGTATATCCACTGCTGCTATTTAACAACAAACTTTGAATTTGCTTGCATGCTTCTAGCTTACATCTAAAGAAGAACTGCCTTCATTGTCAAGACAGTACTAAGTGCTGCTTCTTCCTGTCAGAGGGATGGTGCTGCAGCTTTTGCTTGCCTCCTGTTGTTGCCTGTGAATACTGGGGGGAAAAAAAACCCTGATTTTTTGAACTGTAATGACAGTAACTTTTCTTTTTCTTTGAAGGCTGGCCTCGTCTCATTTGGTTTGTGATTGATGGGAAGCATCTGGCCAAACCAACTAAGGACTGGCATCCACAAGTACGGGATGCCAGTGCTGAGATTGCTTATATTGAGGTAATCCAGTATAATATGCCTAACTTACAATTACTCTTGTGTAGTTTGTCACAGCACGTTTTCTTCCTTTAATCTCCTGATGTGATAAAAGAGATTACTGTAGTATTTTTAACCGCAGAACAAGAATGTCTCCCTTAAGATTACCAAGCAAACTGTCCTTTGAGTGGTTTTGCTTAGTCCGATTGAAGACTGTGGATAATTGGCATTCTGGGATCCCTGGGACAATTTGTTTAATTGGGCTGGAGAAACAGATTTCATGGAATATTAGTATATTCTCTGAACATAAATGTACGTTTTGCACTGCCTTTTTTATTTTTTAATAAAAGTTTGCTTCATTTTTATAATAAAATATTCTTTCAGTTTACTACTATAAATTTTTTAGATTTTGCTGTTAACTTGCTGTTTGTGTAAACTTTCTCTTTTCAGTACAAAACAAGTAAAGAGGGCAGCACAGTGGGCATTACTATATCTCATGCTTCCATGCTTGCACACTGTCATGCATTGACGCAGGCATGTGGCTATTCAGAAGGTAAGTTAGATAGGCACAACTTTAAAATTATACTCACAGCCTTGAATATTCAGACAATTTATGCTGCAAAATCATGTTTACTGTCTTAAAAGAACTTGGTAGCTAGTTCCAACCCCTCTACCATGAGCAGGGACACTTTCCACTAGACCAGGTTGCTCAAAGCTCCATCCAGTCTGGATTGAACACTTTCAGGAAGGGGGCATCCACAACGTCTCTGGGCAACTTGTTCCAGTGTCTCACCAGGCTCTGCCTTCTTTCAGTTTAAAACCATTACCCCTCGTCCTATCACTACACTCCCTGATTAAGAACCCCTCCCCATCTTTCCTGTGGGCCCCCTTTCAGGTACTGGAAGGCCACTATAAGGTCTTCCCCCAGAGCTTTCTCCTGTCTAGCCTGAACAACCCCAACTCTCTCAGCCTGTCTTTGTAGGACAGGTGCTCCAGCCCCCCTGATCATCTCTGTGGCCCTCCTCTGGACTTGCTCCAACAGGTCCATGTTCTTCTTCAGTTGATGTACCCAGAGCTGGACACAGTATTGCGGTTGGGGTCTCACAGGAGAGGAGTAGATTGGGAGAATCACATCTCCATAGGGATTTGAATAAAGTGAGAGATCTGCATATTTTTAGACATTCTCTTAGTAGCCAAGAACTGCACCTGGCTTTGACCATATGCATAGAGTTTCTCTGTGCTACCATTAACCAAAAACCTTTCCCTTTGAAATCTGTTTGCTGGAAGAATCTCATGATTTGACTCAGTTTTATCTCATAATGTGGTAGTGTGTGCTAATGTATCACGGGACATGCAGAATCACAGAATGGTTGAGATTGGAAGAGACCTCTGGAGGTCACCTGGTCCAAACCCTCTGCTCAGGCAGGGCCACCTACAGCCAGCTGCACAGGACCATGCCCAGACAGTTTTTCAGTATCTCCAAGAATGAAAAATCCACAGCCTCTCTGGACAACTTGTGCCAGTGCTTTGTCACCACTTCATAAAGTTTCTCCAGCTGCCTCAGTCCCTTGATCATCCCTGTGGCACCTCACTGGGCTCACTTCAGTAGTTCCATCTCTCTTATAAAGGGGAGCCCCAAAATGGACACAGCACTCCAGCTGTGGCCTAACCAGTGCTGAGCAGAGGAGAAGAATCACCTCCCTCGACCTGCTGACAACACTCCTCCCAGTGCACCATTAGCTTTCATTGCTGCAAGGGCACATTGCTGGCTCACATTAAACTTGGTGGCCACTGTGAACCCAGGACCCTTTCTGTAAAGCTGCTCTTCAGACCGTTGGCTTCCAGCATGTCCCGGTTGCATGGGGTTATTCCTCCCCAGGAGGCGTTTCTCCTTGTTGAACTTCACGAGGTTCCTGTCAGACCATTCACTCAGCCTATTGAGGTCCCCCTGGGTGGCAGCACAACCCCCTGATTTATCAGCCATTCCTCCAGCTTTCTGTCATCCTCAAACTTGCTGAGGATACACTCTACCCCATCATCCAGATCATTAATGAAGATGCTGAACAGAACTGGAGCCAGTATTGACCCCTGGGCCACAGAGCTAGTTGCTGGCCTCCAACTAGACTTTGTGGCACTAGTCACCACCCTCTAGGCCTGGTCGTTCAGCCAGTTTTCAGTCTACCTCCCTGTCTGCTCATCCACCCCATACTTCATCACCTCTGTGAGGATCTTACAGAGTCTGTTATAAGATGCTGTGAAACTGCTGGCATATCCAGTTCTATGCACTTCACTTCTCCTGAAGGTTGAGAGGAACTGAGGGTATGGAAGATTTGCATTCCCTTATATACACGTTTATGCCTGGGACTACGCACCTGTCTCTGATCAATTGGAGCTCTCCGTCACCCAGAGCATGAATGGATATATGGCTGACTTACTGAAGTGTTTTATTGGGAAATACCTGTGTACATTCTGAAAACTTTGGGATATTTTTTATTATTTTAAAGACCAATTTTTTGTGCATGCAGCATCCTACATCAGTGATAAGCAAGTTTTGCCTGTTCAGTAAAAGAAATCCCTCTAAAATCAGATGTAATCTTTGATTTAAAAATCTTTGTTTCTGTTTTCTTAAATCATGCAGGGTTCAAATTTCTTGGAGAAAACATTGAAGACAATTTAGTACAGCCATGGTAGTATTTTTTACTAAATCATTTCTTTCACATATAGCTGAAATTTTTCAGTCTGTGGTATTACAATGAAAACAGTCTTAAATACCATGTAATAATTTAGGCTAGTTTAAAGATGATTTTTGTAAGTAAAATAAGACACTTTCAGCTTAAGCAGCCAGTTTGTTATAGACAGGAAGTCATGTCAATATAGCTTTGATTTCTGAGTGGTGTTGGAAGTTTCATAGTTGCTTTAGCAAATATTTTGAGGTCTTAAACATTCTCATAAATACGGTTCTGAAGTCTCACAGTTTTTCCTTTGCTTTCAGCTGAAACACTGACAAATGTCTTGGATTTCAAAAGAGATGCTGGCCTGTGGCATGGAGTATTAACAGTGAGTATTTAAATGAATGAAAAAAACTGCAATAAGTTGCTTTTCAGGGGTAGAGTTTTGGTATCAGAATGAGGTCATAAACTCTTTCAAACTATTTATATTTCAGTATTTATATTTTTCAGGATAAAGTGTTACAGAGTGCACAGGCATAGCTTATGTTTTTACTGACTGTACACATAGTTTTCACTAAGTTAAATGTAAGAATTACACTGTAGCTGTGATTAATTTTTTTTTAAGAATTGGTACATGCTGTGTATTATTTGAGCCACTTGAAAGTTTATCTTTTAATGTATTTCTCAGAGTGTCATGAACAGGATGCATGTCATCAGTATTCCCTATGCATTAATGAAGGTTAATCCACTTTCCTGGATACAGAAAGTCTGTTCATATAAAGGTAACCTTGATGTATTTTTATTTAGCCCATCTCTTTTTGGATTATTTTTTTAAAAAATTAATAAACATGTTTGTGTAGAATATCTGCTCTAGCTGAGGCCACTGCTGATTTATCCAGGTGACTTCCTTTGCCACAGTTTTAGCAATTGAGTACTCTATTTCAGTCTGATATGTACTGGTAGATTCATTGATGAGTGATGTTGATGGCTTCTTCTGATAGACCTTTAAAGAAACTGTGTTTTCCATCTCACTATTTGTATCTTTAGTAAACATTTAAATTCTGTAATTAAGTCTATCTGGAGACACTGAGTATACACGTGTCATAGTAGTGAAATGTTTGTCATTTGTATTTGTTTTCTGTGTTTGTAATTAGTTTCATAAATTTCTACACAAAAGAATTTCTAGAATATTGTAATAGGTCTTTATTTTCTTCTGTACATACGTCATAGTTTGCTTTTTTTATTTATTTTCAGCCCGTGTAGCAGTAGTAAAATCACGTGATATGCACTGGTCACTTTTGGCTCAGAGGGATCAGAGAGATGTCAGTCTGAGCTCTTTACGAATGTTAATAGTGGCAGATGGAGCTAATCCATGTGAGTATGGGTGCATTTGCTGAGTGTCAGTCCAAGGTGAACTGAAACATGCAGTAAATCACAGAACTGTGGGTCTGCACTGCAGGAGCTCAGCAGCACTGGCTGTAGTTCATCTTCAGCAAAACGGAGACAGCAGCAGGATTTCTTTGCCAAGGACACTGGAGTGAAACTTCCATAGAAAATGTTCTGAAGAATTCATTCTTTATATAAAGAATAGTTGGCAATGTAATTTGAAAGAGGCTTTTAAAATTTCAAGCAAATCATAAGGCCAGTTTCAAAGTAGTTACTCATGCATTGCATGTTGACGTAAAATCTTTTGAGTTGCAGTGTGTCTGATTCTGTACATGCCGCTAGGCCTTGTCTCAATCATGTGCAAGGACATAAAAATGGGAGCAGTCACAGCCTTAACTCAAAACTGTGACCACTATTAACCATAGTGTGGGGTAGGTTCTTGCCTTTTTCTGTCAATCATACGATGGTGTTTTGCAGTAACTTGAGAAAGCAGCTAGGAGTTTTCTTTTGCAGCAGCAGG